ATGCAATACATTTGACATTTTTAGAGATTTAGAAACTGATGGAATCGTTGCACAACCCACACTAGAAATACTTAAACCTGTACCGTTACCAACACGGAGGACATCATTGCCGGAGTAATCCTCGGAGTGTGACATCATGGTGGGATCGGGAGTTGCATGGGAACTCGCGCCAGTGTCGGGAAACCAAGAGGCAGCGTCCGGCGGTGGAGCGGCGTCCTGGCTCACGGCCAGATTGGCCTGCGGCGGTGGGGGTTGATCAGTGTAACGCCGGAAGCAAAAAAATGGCGGTATGCCCGTGCGAACGACAAATCTGACAGCGAGGGGAGCCACCACGTCCGCGACCATTTCCACCACGGCCACGACCCTGCCACTGTCCTCCACGGTTGCCGCCACGAGTCTGCCGGCCCCCACTTTGCCGATTTGCGACCATCGCCGTCGGATGTCCAGCAGCCATACTCGGCGAGAAATCATCCGAATGGATGAAGGCTTGCGCTTGAAGATAATCAGAAAGTTGAGGCAGAGTTACGGGATTACCGGAAACCGCCAAGGTGGATGCCATCGCCCGGAATTCCTGCCGGAGGCCCCGAAACACGTACAAGTTCTGTTCATCAAGCGACATAGGCCGGCCGGCTTGTGCAAGATCCTCAACAAGCAACTGGGCACGGCCAAGATATTCGGCCGGAGTTTGATCACCTTGCCTAAGTGACTGGAATTGAGCGAGGATATTTAGACAGCGCACGCGGGTTGCCGAGCCAAGCGCCGTTTCAATGGAACACCAAACTTCCCTTGCGGTGGAGCGACCAACGGCTAGGTACATGACCTCCTCGGAGAGAGAGGAGATCAAAAGGGATAAGATCGACTGATCTTGTTGAACCCAGGCAGAGAAGGCGGGGTTGACTGCCATGGATGCTGTTTCGTCGGAGGAACCGGCAGCGGCGGCAGGCACGACGGCAAGCATTGCCGGTGGACATGGCGTTCCTCCATCGACGTAGCTAAGCAATCCTTGACCCCGGAGGAATGGAACGAGCTGCGTTCGCCAAAAGAGATAGTTCCGCGTTGTCAACTTTATTGACACAAAATGATGTGCGGAGGTGAGATGGTTGGGCGTGGTGGTGGTAGGCGAAGCAGTGGTAGCAGCACTCATGGTGTGCTCAGATGAGTTCGTAGCCATGGATGAACTGGAAGAAACGAATGAGAAGAGAAAGCGCAAATGATTGATCGTAATTCCCTAACGCGTTACTGATACCATGTGATTGTGAATCTGTGTATGGTAGATTGATAATAGGAATATAAATACAAAATACTATCCCTAACTATTAGGCTAATAGACTAATCTAATTATACTAATTGACTAGGCTATTTAATGATTACCTAATATAACAAATTGTACCAAGAATACAAATATATCTTAATACCGTAGTAGAGCTGTTGATGCTTTGGACTTAATTTTGGAACCTCTGTAGTATAACTATGTCTAGCATCATGTCTCGTCTCTGTGCCTAGCATCATGTCTCGTCTAGTGCTTGTGTCTAGCATCGTGTCTGGTAACGCATCTAGTTCTTCGTCTAGTGTCTGCGTCTAGTCCTTCGTCTAGTGTCTGCGTCTAACCATGGCGGAACTCCAAAAAATGTTCCAAGAAAAATTCAAACCATGGATTATTTAGCTTATGTGTTAACAAGTTTTCATCTAACTCTGCTAACTTAACCTTTGGTATAACTTGTGCTCCAAATTAATTTAAACTCACTTCCCTCTTTCTTATTGAGCAAATTAATTCCCATAATTCCTCTCTTCTTTACTGTACTTTAATTCTTCACCTTTACCTTTAGCCATGTAATAAAAATTAATTACTGGGTTCAAACAAAGGACCTCATGTAAGGTGTCACTATGCCTTATCCGTTGCTCCATTCATATCTTTTAGTAACATAGCTGCAAATAATTACTAAGTAGCAATATTCTGAAGTGTTCTACTTTCTTTAGAATTTCAGAAGATTTTTGGCTCAATACTATTTTGAAGATGGTAAACTAGACTCAAAATAAAATATAGAAATTCTAAAAATACAATTTTGACTCATCAAAACTATATTACAATTATTCCTAACATAACTTATCATCACTTGCCACCTCAATGAGTAAAAATAAGAGAGTAAAGATAGAAAGTTCATAGAGTAGAACATGATGGTTGTGAGAAGTGGGTCTGAGTACCTAACATGTCGCAACTCCATTAGCGAGGTTAGTTTGCACAACTGTCCTTTTGGACAACATTAGTCCTAAGGGAATCTCCAGCCATGAATTTAAGAGGAGGAGAAAGAATGAGAAAGGGAGAACATGATTGGAGGGAAGGAGAGCATTAGAATTGTCCATTTTGAGATATTGCGCACTGTTGGTTTTATGACCACCGAAGCAATCAGTCGACGGTCAACACTACAAGAAAAGTTAATTATTTCACCGGAAAACTACTTTCTCTCAACTCTCGTGTATATTCAGATTATCAACCCATTTTTCTAATCCTTCACAGGCTTTTTATACATGTACAAGACGAGTGAAACGCTAATCCTATCATAAATATCATAAATGAGGCGATAAATGCGTTAATCATGAGAGTACTCTACCTTTTTCTCACTTTTCCTGCGTCGAACGGTTGGTCTCCTCATTGTTATAAACTACTCATTGATTGCTCTCATTACTCCACCCACTACCGAGTATTGGAGTTATTCTCGTCCTCTAACTTCTCCAATTGACTACCTCCTTTTACCAGTCGATTCTCCCTCCTCTTGGGCAGACTGGATGCCTCAATCATCCGACTGCTCTTAATCAGACTAGTTTCCATAGTCGGTCAGTTTTCCTGTTGAATGACTGGCTCTCTCTGCCATCCAGCTCTCCAGCTCCTCAATCGACTCTCTCAGCAATCCGGTATTCTCGTAAAAATTGGTAGGCACACCCATTCATCCTTTACTAGATCGACTACTCTAGTTAGACTGCCTTTTTTGTTTGCCCGTCTTCCCCAATATACTAGCTTCCTCTATCTGACAAATTCCTTCACTCATCTGAACTGGTTCGCCTAAGATGACTCTTTCTAGTAGTCTACTCCTTCTTAGTTTGATTCACTCCGTCGCTCCTCTTGCCGTCCTTGGCCCGATTGTCGTTTCGTTTTTCCCTCGTCTGGTCTTGTTACTCGCTCTTCATTAAACGGCGACTCACCTCTTTATCAGTCCTTCTTTAGCTGTGCTGTCTTCCATGCCCACTCTTCCAGGTCCATATCCTTATCTCCATCATCTAGTCCCTCACTTTTCCCTAGCTCGCAAAACACTGTGCGAAAAAGTATATATCGATTGTTTCACTTTAATCAACATTTTAGGCCCTCGATTTTGACACATTTTGCTGTCTCCTTTTACCAGGAGACACGGTTGGCCAAACACCGACTGCAAATCTCTATCCCTCAATCTCTGATTGATCACCTTTCCAACACAAACTTGGTCCAACTTCATTATTGAGTCATTCATTGCTTTCTCCTGCTTCTTCTCCGACCCTTCATCCTATTGCCTCTTCCTGATCGTGTTTAGATTATACTAACCATCATTCACCTTGGTCTTCCTTCCTTATTGTAGCTTTAGCTCAACCACAAATTTTAGGTTGCCTACTGAGCGCTGACTCCTTTTACAAGGAGGTGTTGTTGACCGAGAGCCGACTCCTTTTACAAGGAGGCGCTGTTGACCGAGCGCCGACTCCTTTTACAAGCCTGTAATGAAATTATTAAATTTATAGGCGTAGGGTCTTAGAATTACACTACAAATTGAGAAATTATAAAATGAAAATACAATAATTAGATGTGTGCAAGGCGATTCGTAGCGGAGCTGGCTTAGAGAAGTTGTTATTTACGGAAATACCACTTTTACTCTCAACTCTTACTCTCTCACTCAAAATTTTGGTGTTAGACATTATTTTTTGGAACTTGTAAGATGAAGATAACTTTTCATCACTTGCCACCTCATTAAGTAAAAATGAGAGAGTAAAGATAGAAAGTTCATAGACTAGAACATGATGGTTGTGAGAAGTGGGTCTGAGTACTTGACATGCCACGACTCCATTAGCGAGGTTAGTTTGCACAACTGTCCTTTTAGACAACATTAGTCTTAAGGAAATCTCCAACTATGAATTTAAGAGGAGTGGAAAGAATGAGAAATGGAAAACATGATTGAAGGGGAGGAGAGCATTAGAATTGTCTCTTCGGAGATAATGCGCACTGTTAGTTTTATGACCATCGGAGTTAATAGAAACCAACTGATCAACTAATTTAACAAAACAAACAATTTTTGGTTAGCTAAATATAATCAAAATTTCTTTGTTTTTAAGGGCTAAATTTATTTATTTTTATTTGACTATAATGCTAAACAATTAAATTGTTGAAGGAAATATACAATATCTTAATATTTACTGTCCATTAAATTATTGTCCTCAAGTACAGTAATAGTTTAGTAAAACTGTAAAACGTAAACAAACAATCCACACTTTATATGGTTCACAAATGCAATGCCGTCCAATAATCCATTAAAATTAATGTGATGATTTGAGGTTTGAGTTGAATTAAACTTTATAATTTTTTCGGTTGACTTTTAGTTCTCTTAAAAAACTGATAACCAACCAAAAAAATTAAAATGATCGAAATTTTTAACTGAGTCCTTAGATAACCAAAACCAAATCAAAAGCCAAAATATTTGAACGGTTGAATTTTCAGTAGTCAGTTTTTCAATCCGTCCGATACTCCGATTTGTTTGCACACCCTAAAATGGACCACTATAATGCCCCTCTTTCCAATTTTTTTTTTTTCCAATGCCTATTCTTCTCTCGTTTTCTGACTGGTTTTAATTGGAAAAATAACTAATAAACAATATCTACGTGCCCACATCAATTAACATGCATTCATGCTTCGAATATGATCTTATAAAAAAAAAAAAAAAAAAAAATAGATATACAAATTTTTTTTTAAAAAAAAAATGCCAAACTTTAAAATCAGACTCCTCTACCTTACAAAATACAGAGAGAGAATTAGAGAATATGCTCTACTTAACATGAAGAATGGATCACCAAAGTGGCAAACCATAAAAGGCTCTTTGTCATTAACGAATCTACCTTACAAACTCTTGCTGCTGCTATGGACAACGGTTTTACCCTAACTGTACAGAGTCAATGAGCCTTTGATCCATAAACAAAACCAATAATTAAAGTGGCAGGCACTGTACAAATTTAAAGGATATACACTGCCTCGGGAGCCATTGAAGCATCATTCCTCCTCTCACCTGCCAGTCTCTCATTCCTCGGAGGAACTAGTCTCGGTAGTCACATCATCTTCACTAAAACTAGATGGCATCTCTGCAGCAGACCTGAAGTGATTGTACGTAGAGTGTAAGCCCAACAGAGAACTGATGCCATTCTTTTCTCAAAACTTACAATTTTTTTCAATAGCAAACGGGAATACCGTTATCAAGTGGAAATGTGATAGCTGTGCAAGAACAGCATCAGACACATGGAGATACAAATGCACCATATTATACTAGAAACTGTAATTATAAATCTAATATAGTCAATTTCTGTGGTAAAATGTTTCCTAGTTTCCTACATCTGACTATTTGCACACTTTTCCCAAACTGCGTATTGAAAAGAACATTTGCCTGCATAAATGTGATGAATCTACCGACTCCTATGGCGTGCCCAAAGAGTAGTGAAATGCAAAAATACAAAATTCGTCTCCAATGCATGACACACCATGTAATTATCTAAATCTTCAATCACATTTGACATGCCATTGTTATTTTTATGTGACATAGGCACACAGTTAGGTCAGAGAGAGACAAACTTAAGCACAAAATAAAAGTTCCAACTCAAACCTTATTCCTTGATTTGTTTGTAATGGCATTCCAGTCAGTGATGCATTCCTTGCAAACTCTCGACTGTTAGACATGTGGTTGCTTGTCCTCTTACCATCCTGAATTTCAGAGTAACATCATTAAGAAGCATATCCAAGGTTATCAAGGCGGACTTTCTAGGCGAGATGCCACCGACTGCCTAGTCGACTAGTCGACTAGGCGACCGCCTAGGCGATGACTAGGCGATGAGTATTAAATAAATAAAAAGTATATATATATTGAAAATATCTTGTCTTGGGCAGCCTTTTAGCTGGCATATTTACTTCAAGTAGATGAATAGTTTTTCCTAGAATAGTGAAAAGTCTTAGTATTTATTGTATATTGAAAATATCTTGTCTTGGGCAGCCTTTTCACAACCCTATTTACTTAAAGTTGTCTTGAGAAGATGAATAGTTTTTCCTAAGGTGGTGAGAAGTCTAGTATATATTGATAACATGCCAGAGTGAGGGAGTAGGTTTTGCTCGGAACAGGAGGACGACGCCGGAGCTTGAACCGCGCCGCCATCAGAGCCACCACGCGCCGCCGCTGTGCCGCTGCTCCGACACCACGCGCCGGCGCGTGAGGCAGATTCCGGCGACCTCTCCGGCTGAAAATTACACCGGTCAACTCACCTTAGTGTGTAGGTTCTGCCCATGTATGTTTTGTGGAGTTTTGGGTTGTATTCTATACTTAGGCGAGGCGAGCACATTAGGCGTTCGGTCTTGACCGACCGGACGCCTAGGCGTCGACTAGGCGTCGCCTAGGCGACGCCTAGATAACCCTGAGCATATCTAAAGCAAAAGATTACTAAACAATCGCTAACAGCCATACCGTAGTTTCATATTTCCTAGGAATCTTCAGTTGACCTTGATTACAGCTTTCATCAAGTATTGCTCCATCTCCACAGAATAAATCATCCTACAAATAATTTGCAAGGCAACATGTATTATTAGAAAGTTGGACTGAACAAGGAATAATCGCATACACAAGGATAGGACTATACCTTTTTAAGACTTTTAGAGATGCCTTTCTCCCTGACATCATGATAGATGCCGACCCTATTACGTATAGTTGAAGGCTTGCATTCAAAATGCTCCACCTGTGAAACCTTAAGGTTTGCTTCATAGTTTCTTTTCAACCGTGGCTCGGCTTGCTCATTAGTCATCCTTCCACTATTGGGGCTTAGAAGACCTTGGTTAGCTACAGAGTCCATCCTCATTTCTCCACCATATTTGGCCATAAGCTGATGATTGTCTCTACTGTTAAATAACATTTCTCTTGCTGGAACCTCATCCTTATCTCCTGGTGAGTTCCGTACAGAAGCAGAATATTCAGGAACTGGCAGAAAACTCTTCTGCCTAAGCTTTTGGTTAAAACATTTTTCTGAGTGATCAGTTCCATGTGGCCTTTTAAGTTTTTCAGAGAGCATATCAAGGTTATGAGAGCTTATCTTTGAATAGTATCCATATCCCTGTTGGGGGAATGTAAAAGATGAATCAGCAGAATATATATATTTTTTCTTTTCATAGCAATGAATCAGCAAAATTTTACATTTTCATGTATTTGAGAATTGACAAGCAAGAGATTAAAAGATAACCATGGATGCAGTGTCAACATTACATTACTAGGTATACTGACAACTAATCTAGCCTTGACTCCCACCTACCCAAGGAGAGGGGAGGAGGGAGGAGAAGTAAATAGGCTTTGGCTCAGGCTACTTGTGAGTTGGTTTGATAAAGAGAGAGAAAAAATAAAAATAAAATAAAAAAATAAAAAATAAAAACACATTTGACCTATATAGACTGGTTATTTGGTAACCAAATCTACTATCAGCATGCTTATAATCCTAAGCTCTGAAAGAATAAACATATCTAGATCATGAGATATCTATTCCTGACTTTGGCATGTCAAGCAGGATGAGTGATCAGAAGGAGAGAGAGAGAGAGAGAGAGAGAGAGAGAGAGAGAGCAGCTAGATGGCCCTTGATCAACCAAAAAATTAAAAAAATAAAAAATAAAAAATAAAAAAAATAAGTGTTCTTGATACCGTATACATTGAAATGTTGTAAGAGAAAGCTTCTTAATTGTGTTGGAACTTACACGTAAAACCTATTCATCGATGCAAATCCATCCACAACCTTTTGAGGATTGATGATGCAAATGGAATTATTTACGTGATAAAGAAATTGATGCCTCAACTCCAAAATAAATGAGAGATAAGATATGAAAAAAAAAAGTGGAATCTGCAAAGCTGACACAGCAAGCAGTTGCCATTAATCCATTATAGTCCCAAATTCAATTCACTGGACACAATGCAACTATGATGACAGAAATTGCCAAGGAGGAAGTAGTTAAACAGATTGCTTTCTCAGACTGAAAACTTACTATGGTTTAATTCATGAGAGCCTGATCAAATGACTAAGGTTGATAGGCAAATGTTAACAAATATCTACAGGGTATGAAAGTTCAGGGTCCAAATTTCAGCAATTACCATCATTGGAATCCAAGTTCAAATATCAGTAATTATCATCACCACGGAAATGAAGTAATCTCATCTTACAGAATATGTTGATTATTAAGATTATCAAATCATAAAGTTTGCTGCACAAGAGGCTTACTAACCGTGCTAGAATTAGATTGCTTATGAGCTTTCGGAAAATCCTCTGAGCGAGCAACATCACGTTCTCCAGCACGGTAAGAATCTGCACCCATTATGAAATTAATGATGTCAGCACCTAATTGTCTGATAATAGAAATAGAAGTTTCAGGATCAAAATAGATAAGCAAAATGAAACAAGCCACTTATGTAAGAAAAAACGAGCATTTTAAGCACAACCAAACTCAATGATATCTTTTAAACACTAACATGGGACTTCGCTGAATCAAAGTTAAAGAATCCTCAAGTTCTTCTCATATCAAAATGACATTCAAGTAGCATTTGATATTTAAATCAAAAAAGGCAAGCCAAAATCAAAGACATCTTTGAAATAAACCAGAGTACCAAGATCTTATTACCAATTAAAATAAGAAAAACAACTATATAAGCGTATACATAAGCCAAAGTAAAGTCATCAGTGTTAGAAGATGTTGAGGGAGGTTGAGCGAATAGCTCTCAACTACTCATTTTGAATTTGAAATGAGTGGTTGAGAGCTTGGCTAATCCTACTACTAGCTAGTATAAATAGTATACTTGTATAGTTCCTTTTCGTCAGTTAAATACAGACAGTCACATTCTGATTCTACATGGTATCAGAGCAGAGTGAAGGAGTGTGAGGCTGTGGACATCAATCGGAACAAGACAATGCTGACGGCGAAGTCACAGCACTGCTGGAGTTCCCACACGTCATCGCTGTTCCGCTGCTCCGACAACACGCGCCAGCGTGTGAGACGTTTGGAAGGTGCGCGAACTGAAGAAATCTCTTTATGGTTTGAAAGAGTCACCACGTGCATGGTTTGGGAGATTTAGCAGTGCAGTCATCAAGTTTGGGATGCAGAGAAGTGCGTGAGATCATACTATTTTTTATAAACGTAGTAACTATGGATGTGTTTTGTTGATAGTGCATGTGGATGACATAGTAATCACAGGTGATGATGCGAGTAGAATTGATGCCCTTAAATCCTTCCTTGGAACCGAAGGTTTCATACTAAACATCTAGGAGTTCTAAAATATTTCCTAGGCATTAAGGTTGCTCGCTCCAATAGAGGCATATTTCTTTCACAAAGGAAATATGTGTTAGACCCACTTGAGGACACTGGGTTGCTGGGATCGAAGCTGTGTGAGACTCCCATGGATCAAGGGGTCAAACTTGTGGCTGGGGATGGGGACGCCTTCGAAATCCATAGAGGTATACGAGGTTGGTAGGAAAGCTTAATTACCTCGCGATTACCCGTTCGGATATTACATTTCCCATGAGCGTGGTGAGTCAGTTTATGAAGCACCTAAGCATACTCATCGGGAAGCGGCTATTCGGATCATGAAGTATCTAAAGAGTGCTCCTGGAAAAGGAATTGTATACTGATCATGGACACACAGACGTTGAGGCGTTTTCTAATGCTGACTGGGCTGGATCACCTAGTGACAAGAGGTCTATGACGAGGTATTGTGTGTTTGTAGGAAGCAATCTCATTTCATGGAAAGCAATAAGTAGAATATTGTGGCACAATCTAGTGCAGAGTCAAAGTACAGGGCTATAACTCATGTGACGAGTGAAATAGTCTGGGTGCACAATATCCTTAGAGAAGTTGGCATGGAGATGAAGTTGCCAGTGAAGTTGTGGTGTGATAACCGTGCTGCAATACACATTATGAATAACCATGTCTTCCACAAATGGACTAAGCATATTGAAGTTTATTGTCACTTTATATATATGGGAGAAGGTGCAACAAGGGTTGATATCTGTCGTACATGTTCGTAGTGGTGATCAGCTGGTTGACCTATTTACGAAGGGGCTTGGTAGGAGTCTGGTTATTTATCTATGTAACAAGCTGAGCATGGTTGATATATATGCTTCAGCTTGAGGGGAAGTGTTAGAAGATGTTGAGGGTGGTTGAGAGAATAGCTCTCAACCACTCATTTTGAATTTAAAATGAGTGGCTGAGAATTTGGCTAATCCTACTACTAGCTTGAATAAATAGTATACTTGTACATTTCCTTTTCATCAGTTAAATACACACAATTCACATTCTACAATCAGTTAAACTAGTTTAAAGCAACTTCAAAATGGTAATTCCTTAAGATCACCTACCAGCTTTTGTATTAAAAAAATCAGCTCAAGCCAATCAAATGCTTGTTTTACTTCCAATAGGAAAAGAAAATTTGTATCATGGAAAATGTGGAGGCCATGATTTTGGACATTAGTACACTTCTAACTCAGAGAAAAACCATCCTCTCTAAAACAGATGATGAAGACAAGTGGTTCAAGTATTACTTCTGAAAGCATTTTGTTCGAGGAGAATGTGTATGGGTCTTTTCAAAAGCAACCATGCTAACATTGATTATCTTTGATGACATACACCACAACTTTAAGAAAATGATGCAAAGTTCGGGTTTATTGAGACAGACCAACTATATTAAAATGAAGTGACTGCACAATCATGCCAAAAAGACAGCATTTAAATGCAATGAGAAAAGCTTCTTGCAATCACAATATAGAAAAGAGGCCACAAGAAACATAGAAAAGAAGATATAGGTTAACAGCTACACTTACTGTTAGTGTGATTCTGCATTGGGGATTCAAAAGCACCAGGGGGGAGTGGTTCAAATTCAACACCAAGTGGAGGGCCATCTTCATGGTACTGCCTCCCCAACTGCCTCTTAACAGCAGTAATGGCAGAATTTTCAACATGCCCCTTGACTTTTAAATATCCTGATGGACCAGTCCTAGGTTTTACAGTTTTCTGATCTGTTGGACAACTATTTGTTAGATATCTTGAAGTACCCTCATCAAAAGAGTCTGCATTATGGGGGAAATATGTATTCCGCAAAGAAGAGGTACTTCCCAGAGATGTATCATCCATGCAATTATAATTTCTAGTAGAGTGACCACCAAACTCATGAGTGAGGTCTGGAGTGGAGAACTCCACACCAGTTAACCTTCTACTTTCAACTTCTCTGGGATCTGAAGTCCTGTCATCACCTTGTTTAGTGCTGCCGCAAGAATCCTGTCTGAGTCCACTGCCACGATCCTGAATAACACCACTTGAACGATCTTGTTTTCCATTCAAATATACTTCCCCATTAAACAATCTCTTATCCTTTAACCGGCGATGGCAAAACCATCCAGAAATTTGCTTTTCTGTCAATCCTAGTGACTCTGCTAGTTGTGATTTCATTAACTCTGTAGGATATTTGTGTTCTGAAAAAGTAGAACATTTTTGTTTATATTTATTTGTAAAGCAATGAGCATAGCATAGTAAAATACTCATAATACATAGCATGATTAGTAAGAACAATTTACCATCATAAAATTTTTCCAGAGCTTCAACTTGAGCACGTGTCTTGATTGTTCTTTTCTTGTTTTTATCAGAAAGAGTATTGTCATCTCCAGAATTCATTTCCCCAGAATCTAAAGCAAAGACAAATATGTTAAGGATGACCATGACAGGTAGAGGAAAACATGCAAGTAAGCGGGGGTGAATAAATAATTTAAACTCGAGAACTTCTATACAGATAAGGAATTTTTATCCTTTAATTTTCTCTCCTTGATCAAAGTCATGGAAATATATAAATATATATATATATATATATATATATATATATATATATATATATATATTTGCGTAAGAGTTAAAGATTTCTGTATGTTGAATGGGCAAGAGATGGTTTTGATGATTTATTCCTTCCAGATTGTCTAAAGCCAACTTATTAGTTGTACAGTTCTTCATAAGACCTTATCAAGATAGATATTGCATTTCTCCTAACATTTTTCCATAGAGACAAATAGCAATTGTCACTATACTGTTGAAAAATAATAACTTTGGAACAGCTCACTACATACAAAGCACCAAACACAGCAGGGCTCCCACATAAAGCAGGATTTATGAAGGATGTTGTTCAGGGTCACTAACCAAGCCCAATCTCCACCAACTTGGCTATACTAATTAAACAAAAACATGCAATGCAAATGTTACCAAAAGCATACACATGCTAAAATGGTGTCATTGAATCCCCCAGAAAACATACTACCCCAAGGAGACTTAAAGCTGGCTTTAGAATGCATCTTGCAAGTTCGTTTTCTCCTATTCAACCACAAATGCTACCCATTTTACTTGCTATTAATAATGATCATATAGTCAACCACACATGGTAGAATCAACCCACTTCTGTTTAGCCAAGACACATATTTTCCTTTTATTTTTATTTTTCTCAATTTCCTGGTTCACCAACAACATTCCCCATAGACTAACCCACCAGTGTCACTATGATTTGATTCTTCCCATTTCCAATTACACAAATGAACAGTCTGGACAATGGATTCAGCAATGCTAGCACATTAAAATTCATGTTTCCAAAAGCTGCGAGAAACAAATAGAATACCCCCATTTGCACATAAACCCTCAACCTCCCTAAAAGCTCTGACAAATTGCACAGCATCAAATATTAAAACCCAGCATATTATCGAACAAAACACATTAGTCGATCCCAACTCCAAAAAATTATGTAAATAGCCAATAAATTATAAGAAATCCACAAAACCAGAGTGTGGAATCAAGAAAAGAATAAAAACCTCTCTAGAAAATGAACAGTTCATATCTGCAATCACAGTGGACAACGATCCCCAAAACACATAATTATAATAAATAAATAAATAAATAAAAAGATGGAAAACCAAAAAAAAAAGGGAAAAGTAGAACAGGAAGAAACCTTCCATGAATTCAACACCGGTGTCGTCGAATCGAGTCCAACTAGACAGCAGCGGAGAAAACGAGAAACGGAAGCACAGAACACTTGGTGAAATTTGTGCAGAGACACGCAGATTTTGCTTTATTTATGCAATATATGTCTTTTGTCCTTGGGTAAAATACACGTGAGAAGAAGGATTTAGCTATTTCTTAAGTATCATTAATTGAATTTTAATTACTCTTTAAACGTTTAGAGAGAAGATGAAGCAAATGGCCAATGAGGGAGAATGGCTTCCTTGGCAATTTCAACCCATTTTCTAAGCCCTTAGGTTCCGTTTGGCAGCACGTTTTCTTACGTGTATTGGCTCGGTGGCTCCAACAATGATAGCTCAACTATATACTAAGGGATACATTAGCATATTGAGTTTTTCGCACTTTTAAGGGTGTTTGGTTGGCATGAATTGCATTGGAATTGAATTGCAATTCAATGAAATGATAAACTACATTGTTCTTGAATGTTATTCAATGAATTGCAATTCAATGAATTCCCCTACAGGTCCCCCTATGAATTGCAATTCAATGAATTCATCTAAAGGGAAAGGGTAGGAAATGACATATTTGTCCTTGAATGTTATTATTAATAATACCAGTAATTTACCCGTACGCTGCATGGTATATAAATTGAAAAGTATTAAGTTTATGGATGTTATATTATAAATTGTGTGCAATAATGAGGTTATAATTTATAATATATAAATTAATTGTGTTTGGAAATTGAACCAAAAAAAAATATGTAAATGGTGTATTATAAATAGTTGAAATTAATGTTATGGTATTAAATAAAAAAAAATTACAAAATTACAAATTATTGAAAATTTCATGATATACAACGTTAGTGGTTGATGTAGTAGTTGTACTTGAGTCTTTTACTATTAATATTTTCAGACCATCTGGATTGTTAACCCGGGATGCAGTCACGTACAACTGGTCATGTACAAAAATCGATTTCTTTAGTATTAATCTGACATGAGACAATGTTTGTTCTTAATTTTTGTTTATGGCCATTGCATACCATTAATGTATACTATTGTTAAGCACCATATACCATAAAGTTTTAACACTTTAATATTCTAATTATTAACAATTAACAATAACAATAATACTAATAATATAATACTATAATAATATAATATCTAATATCTATCTAATATAATAATAATAATAATAATAATAATAATAATAATAATAATAATAATAATAATAATAATAATAATAATAATAATAATATTAGTAAAACCAAATTTCATTTTGTTTCCATGTCCGGTCACTCTCATTTCATCAGTTCTCTCTCTCTCTCTTTCTAAAAATGGCCGACTCTCCATCAGCTTCTCATTTCATAAGTTCTCTGTCTCTATCCTATGGTTCACGATGAAGATGATCTTTTTTCTCTCTAAAAATCGCCGATCGTTATAGACAATCTTCGTGTTAAATTCATATTTCCTTCGCTGGAAGACAGCCGGAAGAGAGATCGGAGCTTAACTGCGATTATACAGGTCAGGTGAAGTGCATGTTCAATTTGTGCGAATCTACACGGTTGCTTACAGATTAGTTGACAATTTCCACCTCATTCGATGAGGATTTCTAACCCTAACACCTTTACTGTTTCAGATCTAAGTATGCTATATTTAGGATTATCTATCTATGTTGTTTAACTGATACGGTTAACCCTAACTGTTAAGGATTTGTTTAACTACTAAGTCCAATTAAAGTGTAGATCTGATTTACTCATTCATTGGAAATCACATGCATTTGGATTTTGAAAAAAAAAATTGTATTCTAATGTTAGTATCTGCATTAGCTTGGTAGATTCGTATTTTCGAAGTTTCTTTTTCTTTTTCTTTTTTTTTTTTAAAAAAAAATTCTTTCATTTGTTATTTGCATATTTCTTTTAGAAGCAGACTTTCTATTTAATAACCACGTATAATATTGTGTTAATATTTGTCAGGACTATGTTGGGATCCAGAAAAAGTGATTCGATTTGCTACAGAGATAAGTTTTTCCATTCTTATTTCTCTGATTTCTGGAAAATATTGAAATTGTTCTAAATCTAGACTGTTTTTTCATGCTAATATGGCTATATATCTAAGACTGATTTCAAGCATCATTGGTGTAATAAACAGATTAGTAGATAGATTTACCTTTGTTTTGGCTGAGATGCTTCCTCTTAGACCCAATAGTGATTGAAGATGTAATTTTCCCCATGCTGTCTTCAGAAAATGCTTATAGTAACTATATGTGTGGATAGCTGGTGCTGAAAATGTTTTCTTAACATCTATGTAGTCCTTTTTATAGATGTTAAATAATAATTTCAGATTGAAAGATAAAGGTCTATCATTTCTTGAAAACTGGTCATTATTATGCATATTGGAATACTATGAGTTTTATGTGTGCTATTTAATGCAAAATTTGGGAAAAAGCTTATTTTGTGTTCACATTATCATAATTCCTGATTCCTTCCAATTTGATTTTACATAATTATAAGCATTAGGCTAAAATAAGATATATATTTTTATGTTTTTTTCCCAATTTCTGATTCCTTCCAATTTGATTTACATAACATACATTTTGATGGATTCCTATTACTATGCATGTCACTATCTGATGTAAGAATATAAGAGAGTTGAAATATTATGAACTTAGCATTGCAATAGAGGAATTCTCCTTGGGTTATGAGATAAGCACATCCCTGTACACCAAAGTGTTGTTTCTATCATTTTTAAACTAAGTGAAAATTACATATGAGCTTTAGTTACTAACGCTCAAACTTGTGAAAAACGGTCGCTTTTGCGCTTAAAGCGCAAAAGCGACGCGTGCGAGCCCTTGTCGCCTCGCGTTGGTGAGGCGTGGCTTCGTGAGAATGCGCGCGCCTAACTGCGCTTTTTTGCGGAGCGATGAAGCGCACAAAAGGCGAGGCTTTTTCATGAAAAGCGGTAGTCAACGGTCCAAGTTAAAAAAAAAAAAATTAAAATAAGCTAAGCTAATAACGAGTGGAGGAGAAGATTCGCATTTCGCACTTCGTAGAGAATAGAAAACCCTCGTCGCCGCTAAGCTGCTCTACGGCTCTATGCCGCTTCTCTTCTCGCCGAGTCGCAGACTGCCGCTTCCTGAGTCCCTGCTCGCCGCCGACCGGTCGCCGTCCTCCTCCACTCCTCCTCGCCCGCTCGCCGTTCACAGTTCACACCGGTGAGTGGTGACTGTACTGCAGTTTACTCTTTTTTTTCTATCTCTTCTACCGTAAAGATGGAAGATAATATATATACATTTATATATGAGTTGAAGGCTTGAAGCTTTAATTTATTGTTGATTGTTGAACTGTTGAAGGCAATGGCAGTCCGTAGGCAGTAGCATACTAGCATTGAACCATTGACTAGCATATTAGCTCATTTAATAATTTATTTTGATTAAATGAATAAATGATAATAACTAATAAGAATATAAGATTAAGATTTAAGAGTTAATAAACTTATAAAAGTTTAATAATTTTTTAAAATTACAATTTACATTCTTGAATCTTGAATACTTTATAATTTTGTAGGTGAATATTATCATTTATAATAATGTCTAATCCAAGAAATCAAGATCCGGGATGGGAGTATGGCACACCGGTTTTGGATAAAGACACTACACATGTGAGGAAATAGAAATGTGGTCACATGTGTAGTGCCTTTATCCAAAACCGGTGTGCCATGCTCCCATCCCGGATCTTGATTTCTTGGATTAGACATTATTATAAATGATAATATTCACCTACAAAATTATAAAGTATTCAAGATTCAAGAATGTAAATTGTAATTTTCAAAAATTATTAAACTTTTATAAGTTTATTAACTCTTAAATCTTAATCTTATATTCTTATTAGTTATTATCATTTATTCATTTAATCAAAATAAATTATTAAATGAGCTAATATGCTAGTCAATGGCTCAATGCTAGTATGATACTGCCTATGGACTGCCACTGCCTTCAACAATCAACAATAAATTAAAGCTTCAAGCCTTCAACTCATATATATATATATATATATATATATATATATATATATATATATATATATTATCTTCCATCTTTACGGAAGAAGAGATAGAAAAAAAAAAGAGTATACTGCAGTACAGTCACAACTCACCAGTGTGAACTGTGAACGGCGAGGAGGAGTGGAGGAGGACGGCGACCATTCGGCAGCGAGCAGGGACTCAGGAAGCGGCAGTCGACGACTCGGGGAGAAGAGAAGCGGCGTAGAGCAGCTTAGCGGCGACGAGGGTTTTCTATTCTCTGCGAAATGCGAATCTTCTCCTCCACTCGTTATTAGCTTAGTTTTTTTTTTAACTTGGACCATTGACCAGCGCTTTTCATGAAAAAACATCGCCTTTTGTGCGCTTCATTGCTCCGCAAAAAAGCGCAGTTAGGCTCGCACATTCTCACGAAGCCGCGCCTCACCAACGCGAGGCGACAAGGGCTCGTACGCGTCGCTTTTGCGCTTTAAGCACAAAAGCGACCGCTTTTCACAAATTTGGTTTCCAGTGATTAACATTTTTATGAGAGAACACACTGATTTGTAATCTATTAATTGTCAGCTATTATTGTTAATTTATTGATTAATTCCTTCCTTATGATTTGATTGGTCACAGAAATGACTTCGTTAAATTCCCAGAAATCTTTTGCCCACCAGTCCATTTGCAACAATTTTATTTTATCTGATGGGAATGAGATTATTATTTGATTGATTGGTCACAAAAATGACTTTGTTAAATTCCAAGAAATCATTTACCTCCCAGTCCAGTACTTACAGTCTGAGTAGTTGTGTTTGGAATGTGATTTGTAGTTGTGTTGCCTACTGATATTGTTGTTTTATTGCCTACTGATATTGTTGTTTTATTGTAGATGATTACTAATTTAAAATTGGTCAGAGAATATATGCCTGGAACAGTGAGATGCTAAACACCAATCTGATCATTATTTCTGGGCCTTATCTTGTGTACATCATCAGTATACTTTGTTTATCACTTTGTTTCATATAATGTAAACTTAATACATCCGTATTCTGGTCCTCTTTATTTAGCAGTCACATTGTTTTGGGTGCAGTTTAAGTACAATGGCAGAAGATAGTGTAAGACTGAATGTACCACTTGAAATCTAAGAGATTCTGAAGAGTACAATTCTTGTAGCAAAGGTATTACTTAACTATGTCTTCCTATTACATTTTCCACATTTAAGTTGGGAGGTATTTGACATGGCCTATTACACAATCACTACAAATTGTAGTAGACAATCTTCTAGTCATCCCTTTAGAACTTCATCTTCTGTGTTTGCCATAGGAATCTGCTCCACTACCTAAAAAAAGAAGAAAACAGTATATGCAAAACAGGGTATGGATGTAAAGCATGTTGTAATGAGTTAGTTAAAGCTCTAGGGTCCTATATAGAAATAATGCAATATGCCCATTATCATTGACGCATGAATGGCATTAATGATGTTGTCCGTAATATTTTTCATTGTCTTTCACCATTAAAAACCTATTTTAAAATGTTTTACAGCCTTCATTGTTTCAAAATAGAAATACCCAGGCCACCAAAAAAAAGGACAATTAAACAATAATAAGTCCAATAGTCCAATTCTTCACTCATTCACTCATTACACATCTGCTTCTTTCTCAATCTTGACCACCGTTCCTTACTTTTTTTTCGAACTCTGGGTACTTGAAAATTCATTTATTAGAGACATCTTTACTGTTCCGTTGTCCCCTCTGTGCAATGCAACAACTTGCAGAGGACTTTCTTCATTTGTTTGGTCATTGTCCTAAAAAAAACCATAGTTAGGTACAAGTCATTAAATATATTAAATATATGATATAACAACATTTTGAGAATACTGCTTCTTCTTGCCTCCTATCATTTTTGATTCAATTAATTTCCTCACTATGTTCCATGTGAGTATTTTAATTTCTTCAAATTTGAACACATATTGTTCAGAAAATGAAAAGTAGTTAATATGGATGGCTGCTCTTTATATTTTTAAAGACTACACTTTGGACATAAAAACTTATACTAACTTTTTTATAATTAATTCATCCTCACTATGTTCCATGTGAGTATTTTAATTTCTTCAAATTTGAACACATATTGTTCAGAAAATGAAAAGTAGTTAATATGGATGGCTGCTCTTTATATTTTTAAAGACTACACTTTGGACATAAAAACTTATACTAACTTTTTTATAATTAATTCATTTTCATGAAATAGGGTTTAAAAGGTTTTAAAAAACAAAAGAATGAATAATCACCTCTTGTTTCTTGATCTTTATCTTTGCATCCAATGTAAATGTTGTATATCTTCACTTCAGTTGTAAACGTGGTATTTCTCCTTGCATCAAATGTAAATCTGTGTTTCATTACAGAACATCTATATTGTGAGTATTCCAGCCTGCCAGCCTGCATCTTGCACAAAATCTTCACAAAATCTTCAGTAGTAGCAAAGAAAGTAAAATCTAACAAAACAATAAAACTTACCTGACCAAGATATTCTTAACCCCATAAACTCTCCTTTCTGTAAAAGGGTTGAAGAACTTTTCAACATGTTCTTTAAGGACATGAGCGTGAAGGAATGTTCCCTACAAATGTTGGATTTAAATACTGATTAGAAGTATTATACTCTGATTATATGCACTATTTTGAAATCGTATTGAACTGCATACCTTCTTATCATGAAAGACTAACTCTTTGGTTTTGATTGATGAAGAACCTTTTTGTTCAGTAGCATCTGAGTCAGGCAAGATTTCACGTACAATGATGTATATTGGATACATTGTCTGACTTTGTATATGAACAGGAGAGAACAGAGTTTTTCATATGAACTGTAACCCTGGGTAGTGTTTGAATTGAAGACAAACTTATGTATTTATAAGCGTTTAGATGAGATTTGAAATCACACGGTAGTGAACGAAAAGGCAGCAACCCATTCGTTGCAATCAATTACTTTGGGAATTAAATCCGGTTATTTAATTATTAATTACTCCGTATAAATTAGTAATAATAATCAGTTGTTTGCTTGTGAATGAACACTCACGTGCTGGCTGCAACTGGAGCCAAATTTGTGATTCTGCTTTATTATAGTAGAAGAGAAGATTACACAAAGGATATTTTAGTCTTTATATCACTTCTCCCATTTTCATTATTCCTCCCTATCAAACAATGTAATTGTAATTCCTACTTTATTCCCACCTTATTCTTTTCCCACCGAATTACAATTCCTTTCCCCCTTAATTCCTTCCTTCCAACCAAACGCCTTGTTAGTCCCACGGGTATTGTGGTACTAATAGTATTGTTCCATGACTTTCAGATTTTACAAAATTGGTCCACCACTATCACCTCCAAATGGTCCTTTCGGCTCAACTTCTGTCCATTTTGTGACCGAGAAAACAAAATTCCCCTTTATAGCAGGGTTGAGTTGTGGACGAAGATTTAGCCGGAAGAACCATTTGTGTTATAAAAAAATGATAGTCGTGGATCAAGTTTGCAAGGTTTGAAAGTCGTGGAGCAATTATGTTAGTGACACAATACTCGTGGGACCAAAAGCGCAAAAAACTCTTACTATATTTAAACAAGACTTTTAAGGATTTAAAAAATTTGGTGATATTCGATTTTGTTGTAAAGTGGGATGCCCATTGGCCCGTTAGCTCCTAATCGGTGATTTGAGTATAGTATTCAAAGTATAAGCTAAAACAAGAAATAGCAACATCAAGAGTAGAGAGATAGGGAGAAGAGTCAAGTTTTCATTCAACTAGCATCATCTTTACATCTTACAAGAGGTTATATATAGAGTTAAATACCGAAATTACCGATTTGGTCCTCGACTACTATCCTTATCAAATTAAGTCCTCAACTTTGAAAAAGTTACTCGATTTCGTCCTCCGTCTAATTCAACCGTGAAGTCGAAGGGTAAAATCGGTACTTCAGTAAGGTCCCGCCATTCCCACCTGCCTATATAGAACAGAACCCTAATTAGCTTATTAGTTTTCCTCCATCCGCCATTTTTATAAGCTTCACTCTTGTGCCTTTTATCTTCAAGCTTGAAGACTTCACTCCGCCATCCAATGTATACAAGCAGTGAGGGGAGTTGTAACACCCCGTGTTACGGCCTCCAAACCCGGATTAATTATGGAATTAGTTCCGTTAATATATAATTAAAAAGAATTTAATTGGGCTAGAATTCTCTTAATTAATTAGTATGGTCCACAATGGACCATGGACCCTTATCCCTAGCAAAGCCTTTAATCCCGTTGGGAATATGGAAAGTGGGCCCTTACTATTCAGATTCTAGTTAGGATTTCTGAATCTATATATAAGGGATTAGAAAGAATTTAGAAACCCTACCACGAATAGCTCTGCCACCTGAAATATTCTCTCAGGTAATCTAGCAAAAGAATTCCCTCTACCGAGCCTAGGGAGAATCAATTGGACGGAGATCTTAGAGAAGAACCTTAGTAGCCAAGGGAATTTGATTAAGGGCTAAGAGGTAACCCATGTCTTACAAAACCTATTTTCCTTGCTATCTTTTATTGATTGGCTCCGATTGAATGATTGGTTGTGTGATTTTGTATGTATATTTTGTTAGAGCTTGTTTTTAGGTCTATGCGATGAATTCTTGTTATTCTTGATGTTGTCCCTAAGGTTTATATCGTGAATCTCGTGTTGTGATGTTCTTGGTGTTCTTGGATGGGTTTATGCATGCTCGGGTGTTGATTCTAGTTTAGGACTTGTCTTTAGGGCTTTGCATATAGATTTCTTGATGTTCTTGAGGTTCTGGATGCTCCTGAACCGTTATGTGATTGATATAGAGTCTTGGCATGTTTAGGAATCGTGTTAGAATGTAATTGGAATGATTCTTGGTTCAATCTTTGTTAATTGAATCCGTGTTGTTGTTGATACATGTTGGAATGTGTTGGGTTCCACGAACGAACACCGAACCAAATATTACTTTCGTACCAGTGGGGGATAGGTGGGGGGAGTGAACCCCCGCCACCTACCCGCGGCCTGACTGCTCGATTCCAGTGGGCAGTCGACTGCCAGCCGGGCACCCGCTGGAATGTGACCTGTAACACCCCAAAATTTTGAAAATTTTAAAACATATATAATAAAGGTAAACTCTCATTAAATCCCAAAACGGAGTATCACTAAACATAAGAGTGCGGGGTGCTATGCCACATCTGAGCTGGAGAACTCAGATGCACAGGCTAAACTAACTAAATATCCTCAATACATCATCATGGCACGCAGGCCGAAAGAAAAAACTATCTAACAAATCCAAGTTCTTCTAGCGCGCTCTGGAAGCTAATCCTCTGTGCCTGAAAGCCAAATATATCTGTTCAGCGAATGATGCTGGTAACCCACTCCAACGCGTTGAAATACAATATAGGTAAAGATATATATAGATATATGAAAACCATTTTGAAGCAGGAAGATATATACTTAGGAAACTCTAGCTTTAAAACTGGGAATAGACTCGACAGGTAGGGATAAGCACATTAAACAATGATAATCAGTTATATAGAGACAATATCATAAAGAACACATATCTAAGGTCACAGTTCACTTTCAAATTATTCACATCAATATTCAATCAACATTCATGTCACACAAGCACATTTTGGTGGCGCCACGGGACCAATCGCATGCCCCGAACATGAGGGTTAGTACATATAGAACTAACATGGTCCCGCAGCACCCTACCTCATACCGCAGCATGAAGGGGTTGATCGCAACCAACCGTATAGACCGTCGACGATTTCAACGGCGGATCATAGTCCTACACACCGCTGATGCGCTCAGTCGGTGGACTGTGATCCTTTTTAGGGGACTGCGACCCTACACACCGCTTGACGAACTCAGTCGGTGGGTTGTAGTAGATCAAAGCCCTACACACCGCCTGAGGGACTCATTCGGTGGGCGATGATCTTCGGAGACTACAACCCTACGCACCGCTGGCCCATACACTTGGTGGATCACAGCCGACCATAGCCCTACGCACCGCCTGATCACTCATTCGGTGGGCTATGGCCTTCCTCGGGCTAGTGGCCCTACACACCGCCTGACGCGTCCAGTCGGTGGACCATAGCACACGAGGCCCATGTAGACCGCAACCCAAGAAGTGAATCACTGACCGCAGCCAGGAGAGTGAACCGTAGCTCATAAGTAACCAATTTGACCGCAGCCAACTTCTGAACCGCAGCTCAGGAATACCCAATTTGATCGCAACCAAATTGGGGTATCATGCATCACATAACACATAGTAGCACGTATTAGCACATTGGGAAGGGGGAGACGTATAAATAAACTTATGTGTGATCATTCACATACTAAAAATAGTCCTAAGGTGTTCATGCATCCTCCACCTAGGCCAATGGGTTACCGATTCAACTAGCATGCAATACCTAAGACTCTTCTATCCTATGAATGGCACCCGAAACATCAAACTAGATTCATGCACGACAAAAGGGGTCCGTTGGGACACCACGGGGATTGGGAAACATCAAACGGGGTGGCCAAAGTCCCGAAGTGGGCAATGTCCAGCGGGTAGCCGGTGGGTGGAGGGTCACCCGCCGGCGACAGAGTTCCGGGCAGCGGGTGCCCGGCGGGCAGTCGCCTGCCCGCTGCCGGCGGTACTTCTTTGGGCAGCGGGTAGGTGGCGGGTCCCCCTACCCCCACCTACCCCCCACTGACTCTTTATCAAAATAAACGTCCCGGGATCCTTCGTGGAACCCGAAACCATGCTTAGACACCTTTAAACGCAAATAACGACACCACGTAGACAATTAATGGATCAAAAACAAGGATCACATAGGACATATCCTATCATGACTTCTAAACATAATCAACACCCGAACATGTGAATTTCCACTCAAATATACCAAGAAAATCCCAATACGAAATTCATGAATCAACCTAGGGCTCTAATCATATTTAAATCAACAAGATCATACTTCATCTTCAATATCAAGAAACGTAAAGACTTATCAAGAATATCACATAATCATCAAGATCCTCTTATCATCATCAAGATTATCAAGATCACACATACAATCATCTCATCAATCATCAAGATTATATCACAATTATCATATCAAGACACAAGCATATAGAGGAAGCCAAAGAAGAAGATTATAGCAAAGAAAATAGGTTTTGTTGAGACATGGGTTACCTCTTAGCCTTAATTAATCATCCCTTGGCTATTAAAGTTCTTCCCTAAAATTTCCATCCGATTGATCCCCCTAAGCTTGGTGGTGGGGAACCCCTTGGGAATACTTTTGTGTAATATAACTATGATGGTAAGGGTTCTAATGCTTTTTAATCCCCTATTTATAGCATCAGGAATCCTAATCATGATCTGAAGAGTAAAGGCCTACTTTCTTTATTTCTAATAGATAATTAGGTCTAAGACTCCTAATTAGAATCTGATTAGTAAAAAGGTTTACTCTCTTTATTCCTAATAGGCTTAAGACTCTAGTTTAGGCAAGGGTCCACGATCCATGGTGGACCACATTAATTAATTAGAGGGAATCCTAGCCAAATTAAATCCTTTTTAGTTATTATTAACGGAATTAATTAAATAATTAATCCGGGATTGAAGGCCGTAACACGAGGTGTTACATGACCGCCCACAGGCGGGTAGCCAGTGGGTGGTCCTCCACCCGCCGCCCACCCGCTGGAACGGGGTTGTAACACCCCGTGTTACGACATTCAATCCTGGATTAATTATTTAATTAATTCCGTTAATAATAATTAAAAAGGGATTTAATTTGGCTAGGATTCCCTTTAATTAATTAATGTGGTCCACCATGGATCGTGGACCCTTGCCTAGACTAGAGTCTTAAGCCTATTAGGAATAAAGAGAGTAAACCTTTTTACTAATCAGATTCTAATTAGGAGTCTTAGACCTAATTATCTATTAGAAATAAAGAAAGTAGGTCTTTACTCTTCAGATCATGATTAGGATTCCCTTTAATTAA